CTCTAAGATTAGAGATCTTTTGTGAAAAAATATGTTTTTCTGAATATAGAAGAAGAATAATCTCTTGAAGTTTCTCTTCATGACGATGTGCATTTTTCACTGAACATGAACGTGTGTCCTCATAAAAATCTGTTCCCACGGCACTTTCATGTTTCTCAAGATTTCAATTGTCTATTGAGTTCATGTAAATCAGGAGATGTTATTGATTCTAAGAATGCCCAACCCTGGGAACATAAAGTGAACTCCTGTATGTTAAGAGGGCTAATGGGAAAATATGAAAAATGAAACCCATCATATCACATCTCTCTTTCCTAGAAATGACAATTTGAAATCAGGGCATTCTTTGTTTTTTAACCCACCCGGATACAGTATCAAATTCCAAAAATTTACGTGCAGAGCAGCCTGCAGGCCCATGTGCTGAAATAAAGCAAATATTTTGATAAGCCTTTTGATTAATCTATATGCATGCAAACTTCCAATTGCCCTGGTTAATTTATGGTACATCTAAATATCATCGAAGGTTGTAAAAAAGATATTTCCCTGGTGAACAGAATGACAACCAAATTGGATGTTGCTTAATTTTACCAATCTCTTGCACAAACAAAGCACCCTCTCTCTATATCACAACAAAATATATGATGTATTATGCATCATCATTACTAACGATACGAAATGGTTACATCATTCCAAGGTTTATCTTTGATGGGGGTGGATTGATCTTCTCGGGATTTTCTCGACTTATGTTTCATCATCAGTAACAAAGCGAAATACTGGTACAGTGAGTTTTAAGTTTCTAACTACAATCCTGTGGGCTGGGGAAGAAAAAAATCTTTACGCCCACCAATCTTTCTTGACTGTAAATGAATTTCTTCAGCCAGACATGTGGGCATCGATCGTTACTTAACACCCATTGTTCAGGGGGGGGGGGGGGGAATGAATAGATCATCCCCCATGAACAACAGGTATCAACTACAGATCTATGCCCATGGTCAGACACATGTATAAAATGAAAAAGCAAGAATCCGAAGACCCACTGCCCCAATTATGCTCCCCCCAAAAAAATAAAAAATTCTAGGACAATGTGTTTCATTGCACGTACTCATCCTCATTCTAAGAGAGAGAGTCACAGGCTGTGGGAAGAGATGTATATCTGTATGCGAGGGCTCATGCTGGATCTTAAAAGGATCAGTAGACCCGCTTCTTGAAAATCCCAACATAATCGAGCAATAAGATGGAAAAGATGAATAAGTAAATTGATTGTGATGGAAGGATTAATAAACAAAAACAAAATGAAGTAGTCAGTGACCTCAATCTAGAATGATTCCTTTTATCGATACCAATGACTTATTAATACGTCATCCTATTGTTATAGCTATTTTTTTTGCTCCTCTTTATATTTTCTGACTTTAATATGCATGTCTATTTCACAAAATTAAATATTACCTTGCTCAATTTCTTTCCCTGCAATACATGCAACATCTGTTGGTCTTTCCTTATTGTCAACAGGGAAAATGAACTGTCTTGTAAGAACCAGGAAGCACTAACTTACTCTGGTGGTGTGAATCCCTTCTGATATTCTATTGATGAAATCTTGAAAACTGTGTGCAATATATTTTTACAGTTTGTGATTTTTCAGTAAGTTTGAGTAAATTAATTGTGATTTTTAATGCTTGTGATCTCCAGTGAGTTTGACTCATTGTGTCACTCAACCAAACTTCACAGTTCACAATAATTCTATTTATACAAAATTAAAAATGATTAACCATTCCCCATTAACTTCTAGTTAGTATCTCTCAGGATGCTATCATATGACCGTTACTCAGTATCATCTTTATAAAATAATGGCCCTGTATGGCTCTTCTTTACAGAGCTAACTTGTAAGAAGTAAGACGAGAACTTCCAGGCCATTTTGCTCTCCATCTTTCATGCTGGAGATAATAGAAGACTCCTTTGGTCTGATGAAACGAGACACCAGCAACCTTGCACACTTCAATAGTAGGCATCTTTGCACGCTGCCTGCCTGCCTGCCTGCCTGCCGCTGTTCTTCATTTAACAGTAACCAATAATTAACTTTCTCTGCACACGCCGCGACCCCACCTATTTACTAGCTGGTCCACACGCAATATGCTGATGCTGCCTTTCCCCCCGTAAGATTATGGCTAATAACTGCTCAGCTCTATTCTATTATAGCCTGCTCTATTTCCATTGTGTAATGATTCTTTTACACTTGCTTGTCCTACATATTTTTCTACTCTTCTCCTCAAACCTTACGCCCTTCGTTCACATTATATGAGGGGAATCATAAGGGACATTCTCTCATTTTTTCCTGTTGCATAGGCCTGCCTATCTTGGTGGCTCCTGCCTCCCCTTCTCCTATCTTTCCTCCTTCCCCCATCTCTCTGTATTTATTTCCCTTTTTCTCTTGCCCTCTCTCCCTCCCTCTCCTTCTTTTTTTCTCTTCCCCTCAATTTAAATGTACTGCATGTGTTGTAACTTTTCTTTTCTCTCACTTACCCACAGTCATCCCTTTCTACATCTGTATACCTTCCTTCCTTCCCCTGGCACTCTAGCTGTTCCTCACACTCCTGTCCCTCCCTTTCTCTTCTCTCTTTCTTTTCTTTCATTTGTCTTACTTTCCCCATCACTCATCTGCACCTCCCACTCTTTCTATTTCTCTCTTTCCTTCCATCTCTCTCTCTCCCCCTCTCTCTCTCTCTCTTTCTCTCTCTCTCTATCCACTTTCCTCTGTTTTAAAGCATCATTTGTTATTTACTGGCTTCCCTGGCACTTGTTTTCTGTTTTGATTCTACATTGACTCTGCACACCACTTTACAATGTGACATGCTTTTATCCTCTCTAGCTGCCTGCCTGCCTGGTTCCTTTCAAACGGATACCTCTCCGAGACATCTCCTCCAGATAATTGAGGACGGCGGCCGAGAGTGAAATATTGAAGAAGATCACCCCCTCAGTTACCATCCTATATAAAGGGTGATCCGTTACAGGCGTCGTATTCACAGTCAAGAATACCCTCGGGCCCGTATGGTGCCTTCCAATAGATAAAGCCAAGAGCGCTTTGTTTGGGAATGCGACAGCTGATACGCTGAAAGCATAAAAATGACCCCCCAAAATTGCATTTTTCATAATATACAGCCATCTATAAAATTGGCCGTTTGTGACTACAGTGGCGTTTAGCTGTTAATTCATTATATTTGAACACAGAATTAACGCCTCTATAGCTCAAAACAGACTGAATTATATATTGTGAAGAACTGGCAAATGTATCTACCGATAAGAAAGAGAGTGGCAGATGTACATGCAGAAAATATTTTTCATTCCTTAAAAGGCCATAACTTTGAAGTAAAATGGATATTATAATTTAAAATAATTTAGAATATACACATTCAAATAATATGCATTATTTTAATCAAACATGATGCAAACAAGAACAAAACAAAAAAAGAAGTGGGAAACCCCCCAATAAAATCCAAATGTTAGAAGGAGAGTTTTTAATTGAATAAGTCTCCCAACTAAATGTATTTCGTAAGGGAAACAAAAATAAGACATGCGCACATAATAACAGGCACTTTCTTCCTCTATTGATCAAGAATTTTTGTTGTTTTGTTAAAACATTATTTTTCATCAGGCAACTGCTAAACATATCCCATGCTTGTTATAAAGGTAATCAATACAGTTTCTTAACAATAGCCTCACCATGTACAATGTACAGTCATTGGCTGATTAGCTTTCAGTATGGTTAAATGATTGACAAGCTCATAGAAACCAAAATTACATCAATATATGTAGTATGTAATTAAAATTTGCTCAAAGGTATGTAGCAGTGGAAATTCCATCCATACCTAGGTGTAAATCAATCTTTAATAAAGAGCTATGAAACCTTTTTTCAGAGTTCTCTTTTCGGAAAGGACTACAATAGGCAACAAAAGACCTTTTCCACATTATCAAAAATATAGATTTAGCAACAAATAAAAGTTTAGGATTAAATCATGTTCAAAAACTCAAAATTTGTAGGATTTGTAAAAGTGTTGAAAAGAAATGAAATATGGACACAAATCTAACATAAAAATCAAACACACGAAAGTTAGGAACAAATTGAGAGAATTAGCAGCTCATAAAGTCTTCTATCTGCTAACGACTCAAAGTATGAAGTCCATGTAAAGCAATGGCAAAGATCGTGATGTCAAGACAATTCACATTAAGGTGTTTGTGACACTATTGTCGGGTAAATAAAGGAAAATTTGTAAAAGTTCATGAAAATTGAAATCCATTGTGTATCAAAATGACCAGAGTTAAAAGGACAAAAACATGGATTCAAAGTGATTTGAGATGTTAATCTTTGTGTTAAACTTTCAATTCAAAGTTTACAGCAGCTAAACCATTATGAGTATTCTTGATAAATACTTTTTAATTTGTTTCATTTTTTTTAGGGGGGGGGATACCAAAACTATACATAACTTTAAATTTACCTGAGTTTAAGAAAAAGTAAAAAGTATTCATGGTTTAAAGTTAATTCCAATAACGTGCAGAAAAGAGAGCTGTATTAAGACATTTTTAGGTAAGTTAAAATAGAGAGATATATAAATATATGTACATACTAGAAAATAGATTGAATAGCAGCGCAGATACTAGAACAGAAACTGAGAAGACAGTTGATATATATATATATTTTTTTGTTTTTTGTTTGTTTGGAGGGGCGGCAATAATAAAACTGTATGTAGCTTTAATTTAAATAGAGTTTAAGAAAAAAGAAAATATTAGTAGTTTAAAGCTTATTCCAATAACGTGCTGAAGAGGAGAGCTGTATCAAGGCATACTTTAGGTTAGTTGAAATAAAGAGAGAGAGAGAGAGATCCACATCGGAAAATTGATAAAAAGTGCAATCATGAAAATAGATTGAATAGCAGCAAAGATGCAGGCACAGCAGCTGAGAAGAAAGTCTGTTGCTAAAGACTACCAAAAATGTTCTCAGTCTATAAACTTACCATCTTCACTTCTAGCTGTACAATGGGAGGAATCTAGAAAACAAAGAGCAAAATGTGGGAAAACAATTATAATTTTCAATCTTTACACTGCCACCTGCATTGTACACTATTTTGTGACAAGTCAATCATGGCAATCCAGCAACCACCTGTAAAGAAAGGATGCCATCCATGTCAGAAGACCCAAAAGTCTGTTGCCTTAAAGCTACATACATGTACCTTTACATAAACACCATCTGCTGGTAAACATGCATTTCTTGTCTTTATTGACTGGTTTCATTGTACAACAACATCTGCCTAAATATACCATGCTTTATCTTCCCTATGTAGTCTTCATGTTAAGGGTTGAATGTATCCAATATTCAACTCCAACATGCTTTATCTTCCCTATGTAGTCTTCATGTCAAGGTTTGAATGTATCCAACATTCAACTGCAACATGCAAGGCCATGAATGACGAAAGAAACACTTCTTTTATGATTAATGGTATCTTCTCTAATTAAATAGTCCTCTTGAAAACGGTGCTAATATAACTATATAAATATCGTTTGCCTAAAAAGACCATGCTTTATCTTCCCTTTGTAGTCTTTATGTAAAGGTTCAACTGTATTCAATAATCTAGTCAAAGAAACAAGGACAGAGACGACAAAAGAACTAACAATTTATAATTAATTTTATCGTTCCTATTGCCTAATGAAACTCGCGGACAAATAAAGCAGGAAAATATATTGTCATCACAACCTAAAAGGTCATGGTGAAGTTAAAATGCAAAATCCTAAAGAGGCATGGTATCCAAAGGAGAGGTTGCCATGGCAACGTACAGGCTGCATATTACTAACGATCTTGTAAAAGTCCTGCATCTTCACCTGTGACTTTGAAAGGCGTCAGTAACACCATGTCAACAAGAAACGAAGACACAAAAAAATGCACATCCTATTGAAAGAAGAGGAAGATATCTAGGAAAGAAAAGAGATCAACAACAATAGCGGGGTTCCTTTGAGAGGGTTCTTTCATTGGCTGAGACACGATATTGATGTTTAGACTGACAAGTCGATCCCTATAATGGCAATTTTTAAAATTGATATCTGGCTGGAAAAAACCTTGCCCAGAGATCCATACATCTAAATTAAATTGGAAGCAGTTTGTGAATTTATTATCTTTTCTTTGCTGCTCAGGCCTTGATTATTGAACTAGGAGTGGGGTGTGCATGCAGACTAAGGAGCTAGGCATAACCAGATTGAAATGGAAAAGTAATTGCATATAAAGATTCTTTGTTTATAGGTCTAAGTTTACATGATATACTTGCTGCTTCCTTGTGTGGCTTATGGCTGAACTTAAATACAAGTTAATAAAATATTTGAATTGATTACAAATAAAGTAAATTCTATTCTACAACAATAACTTATTTTAACAAAATAATGTTTGCATTGCCAGTTTGTTAAATGATTTTTTTCCTCTGTAAATTAAATGTATTTGATAATATAAAGTAGTGCATGGGGTATGTCTTTTAAATAGGTTTTGATTATTGTTCATCCCCTCCCCAGCTTCGGCAGTAGGTGAATGCTTTAACCTAAACCAAAGGAAGTTGATGGATTAAAAGTTTGGCAAGAATTATTGAAATTTATCTTATTTTCTCTATTTATTGAGTAATTTTGTTTTATTCATTACATTTTAAAGTAGGTTGCTGTGCTGACCTTATCCTTTCGACCAGTTGGAAAGCTATTACTTTGAAAGTGTGTACAGAAGAAGCATTTTCGATGTAGGATGGGAGGCTATTCAGGGAGTGGCTACAGAAAGTGCTCTACCGCCATATGTTGTTTTCACACAAGGGCCAGGAATTAGTCGAAAGTGATAGGAAGTTGAAGCATGCAAAACACTTTGTAATAAATCATCCCCCATATAATGAAAATAAAGGAATTGACTTATGCTTCTTAGAATTAGCAGAAGGGAATATATTAGAGGATGGTTTTGATAAATATTTATGAAAACTTTAAATAATCTAATGAGACATACAAAGAACAGTAATGTGGAATATGGAAGATGAAGGGGAAATTGTTACATCATCCCATCATTCTACAGACACAAACACCCAAGTATAAGCAGACGATGGGCTCCGCATGTAGTGCGTGCGTTTCTCTAATGAGCAGGCAAAGACGGGAACAAAGAAACACAATCCTTACGTCATCGTCTGGCAAACATTTTACCCAAATTGTAAGGCAACATCTCGTCGGTAAAATGAGCCTAAAATAACATAAAAAAGGTAATCAATACATCTAGCTGACTTTATATTGCCTATATTCTTTTTCTCTCACTCATAAGATGTCATAGGTGTTCAGACAGGACTTGTTTCAAGCAAAGCAATCAAGCTTTTGTTCTGTATGTTATCAAAATGAATCAAACATTTATTGCAAAGGTCTGGTGGAAGTGTAGGTTATATTTCTCTGCCAAAATTAAATGTTCAATGCAGCATACTCCTGATATTTTATAAAATGACAAAAAAGTTATAATTTTCTTTCACTTAAACCTTTCTCATCAAAAGTGAGGTTAAATTCTTAAGAACCTGTAAAATCTCACAATAATTGTTATAATTGTCTGTATTTTTCTGTTAAGCTGAAGGAAAACAAAAAACCATAGTAGAGATACTGATAGAAAGGGAAAACTGATTGTATTTTGAAAAATGTAACTTTTTATCTAGAAATAGGGAGAACACATAATCATTCCAATTTATAAGATTCTCTTATTTAGTAATACATGTATGTGGTCTTTCCTCCTCAAATGATTGAAAGGGAAAAATAGAACTGTTAAGATTTGACCTTAAAACAAGGATATCACATACCTCAATGAATTATTCTCTTCTTTAAGATTCTTCCTAATAATCTTTCTCTCAATATTGAAAAATTGATTTTTATTCCATTTCAATTACAAGTTAAAATGAAAGTTGTCAAACAAGATTTTATTTTTAAACCTAAAAATAATATCCACCTCAGTAAAACTATTCCATTCTGTAAAATTTATCCTTCCAAGTAATCATCATGACTAAGAATACATACTCCATGTAGATCATTCTCGTTTGTAATAAGAGAGGATTAGAACTATTGAGTTCTACCTGTAACCAACAAAAATAGAGACCCTACACCTGTATGAAATCAATCCATCTACACGATGCTTTCTTTGTAATCATCTTGACTCAAGTAATTGTTCATTTGGATTCTCACCCGGAAGTGAAAATGTGAATTTAAGATTTGTCCTTTCACCTAAGAACATGGAGAAGACATGTTCTTTCGGAAATCATTCCACTTTATAAGATTCATAGCTAATTTAGCTATATATAATCATACTTTCTCAACAATAGTCTATCTGGATATTATTACTTCTACCACAATTCATCTTATTGTCATCCAAAGAAGATCTGACAAGCATTACAACCTACCGCAAGACCATACAACACTCCATACTACGTCACTACCATGGTATCTACATCTATTCTAATTGCTGTACAGTACGTGCTAGTCTGCTACAATAATGACACCATCACCATGGCAACCAATTTTCCATCGCAGGTACAGTGTCTCGGGCTATACATCCTGTATGCACTCTATTTGTACACGTACAACACATAAGGAGAAAATGACTTTGATGGTGGCTTTTAATTACATATAATGATGAAAGCAAACAGAATTAAGATAGAGTCATTGCCCTCGGATGATTATGTTCCTTTGTTTTGTATCAAATATACTTACAATGTCAGGTTTTTGGCCTTTAAGACAATACATGTAGGTTACTTTCATTTGTTGACCATGTCAATATCTAATAAACAATTTCAGCAAAGACTGAATAAACTTGATGTTGTATGATTCCAAGAAACTAAATCGACACTGGGTTATTTGATTGAAACACATTATTTCAGTTTAAATTATCTATATTGTATATATTCTCAATCGTTTCACGATCAAAGAGTTTCATGTCATCACCTGAAAGTATTAATGATAAATGATTTTGGTAAATTAACTCTATCAATTAATCAAATATAATCATTTTTTAAATAGATCATTTGAATTATGATATTGACAGTATTTCTTATGTATATTGTTCATTGTGGCTGTGGAGGCCAATTTTTTGTTTTTTTCAAAATATGTTTAATATGAATCGATGAATTATGAAGTACTATAAGAATGGATATTTGACAGGATAATAAGAAGTACATTTATTCACATGCCATCGCCAGCTGTTAAGATATTGCCTTGAATCGAACTACATGTATGCATCTTAAATTCAGATTATTATAAAATGCTACGATTATTGCATATGACGGGACAAAGAATGACAAATGGCAATTTCTGATGGGTCTATGGAGACCAATCAGAGAAGCAGGAGTGATAGAAAGCGACTACTTTCATACAGCAAGTGGGTCACCTTGCTATACATACAATGTAGTAGCAAGAATGAATTACGAGATCTCACATATTAACTTGATAAGATTCACTACATGTAGGAATATTGCCAGTTTCATTTAAAAGTTTATTTCACTCCTAAATGACTTTGTTATGTACAGTTACAAACTGAAAATGAAACATATATGAATAATTTGAGTTTCAGTATCATATATGACATTTTAAAAAGATGAAATATAGAGGAAAATTGTGTGTTTCAGAGTGAAAGTTGAAACATATGTAAACAGAGAAGGAAAACAATGACTGGAAAAGGGGTTGTGATTAGACAGAAAAGAAAACTAAAAGAACAAATGAATTAAAGGAAACTAAAGTGAAAACCAGGAAAATGGAAAGTGGAAAGAGGAAAAAAAAAAGAGAACGGAAGGAAAAATAATCATGCCCCCCAGGAATCTTGAGAAGGAAAAGAAAATCTAAATTCCAGGAGACGGATACTAATTCTTAAATGCTAGAGGATAATGGATCTTTCTGAGAACACTTGAAACTAAAGTTCCAATGATGATGAGTCATGCGTGTGGAATATCAAATAACTACTGGTAGTTTATCGGACTACAGGAATGGGAAATCTTACAAGATATATTACAAAAAG